GTAAACGTCATGCACTGAAGTTGTACTTTCGTAAATGTTATTTTTATATATGTACTTTATAGATTTAGGTTTCTTAAGGTATTAAAAATGGAGAAAAATGAAGTTAGATTCGACGTTTTTTTGATTAAGGTAATTTAACTTATTTATACAGGGTAGTTAAATTCTTAAACTTTCAGTTCAATCATATTTTTCAAATGGGACCTTATTGTATAACATTTTCGAATTTGTAGTAAAGTAAACATTTTTTTGGTATTAGTAACCATAATTCCAAAAGAAACTGTCGAGATAAACCTCTGCATAAATACGGTATTAAAAGAAGTTTACTTAGCGACCAACTCGAACATGGCATAAAATAAAGGTGTCCCATTTGAAAAATATGACTGTCAATTTACAAATTTAATTAACCTTTAGCTTTAACTCTGCAGTTTTTATGAGGGTGACAAGACAAGACAAGATAATTAAAAAGTTTGTTGCAAAATTCTATACCTCCATCTTAATCGCGGCGAAATCAAGAATTTTTAACACCGTTTTTTACATAAAAATGCAAATGTGTTGACACCTGTCGCTCAAAAAATCATTATGCCTGATATATCGTTTTCCTATTGTTTTAAGAAGGATGCTACGTTTAAAAGAATACAACTATGATGTATAACTTGTAACGAAGCGAATTTTCGCGGGCTGGAAACCGTGACGCGTACCGCGAGAACCGGGGGTAAAACCGCGATCGCCGCGCCGGAAGAAGAGGATTCTGGCCTGAAGCTTCAGAGTGTCAGGAAGTGCTGTGGCTGTTTTGGAATTTTGTGATTTAGAGAAGTGTGAAGTCTGGCCCTCCGACCACCGTAAGTACCTTCTTGGGTCGCCTGCCTGTTTAAGTACCGGTTTTTAAATCGCCGCCCCGAGCGAGAAACCGTGTCACCGTCGCCGCGTTTTTTTTTTCACCGTCAGAAGTCGAAACCGTCGTGCATGTGTCGTTACCGTCCCGGACGTTTAATTCTTTTTGTTTATTTAGTTTGTTAGTTAAATTAAGATTAGCCGTAAGATTATTATTTTAGACCATGTAGCTGGTGGCAGGGAATAAACCCTATTCATTGTAAAATATTCTTACCGTTTTATTTTATCTATTCTCGTGTTTTCGCGGGCGCTCACCACCTGAATTCCGTTTCTCCAGCTTTAGAGCGCCCCGGCACTCCATCCTCCGGATAGGGAGCTGGCGCCCGAGCGGCCGCCGCTCCTGACCGAAGGCGCCATCCCCGGGGGCGTGAAGGTCGCTGCATAAGCTTGATCGGCCAGACGTGTTTCTGAGATAAGCGATACTAGTCGACCCCACACGTTATCGGCGAAATTCCGGATCGTCACCGGACCGTCCCAACCGGAATTTCGTCACAAACTTTCGAACGAAACACCTCTATATTTGAAAATAATATTAATTGTAACCTTAAATTAGTTCTATCCGACTTTGTCAAAGGAATTTTTCAGTAGTTCAAGACAACTGCGTAATTTTGTACCACCAGTCTCTTAAGATAACCAACAAAGAAGCATATTTTGCACTGAAGGTCTTATCTTGCTTCATAAATGGAACATGCTACTATTTTCAACCAATTATTACTTATATTCGTAAATACCGAGCATTATTTGTAGATAAGAATTGAGTTACTAATCTACCTATCGGTCCGTACGTAGCTAAGCTTCATCTTCTTTATAGTAATTTTTGAAGTAATATATAAGTGGAATGCGACGGTTGCAGTTCTTAAGTTAAAAAATAGATACACTGTGCGGAATTTGTAAAAAAACTAAAGTGCCGGATAATGATAAGATTACTTACTTGTGACTCCTGCAAAAAACCTTACCACTTTCCATGTACTGGTCTATCAAGACAAGAAATCCAATGTATAAGAGTTGTTAATCATAAACTACATTAAGCTATTTGGTCAAAGACTGCGGATATGTTTTGCTCAAACTTCTTCACTTCTTGTTTAACTTAGCACTATTTACTAACACTTTTCCAAATTCCTGTAAAATTGCTAAAATTTATCCAGTGCTAAAAACAGCAGATCCATCATTAATTTCTAATAACCGCCCAATTTCAGTTCTCAACAATTTTGCGAAAGTTTTTGAAAAGAGTATTTAACTGCATTTACAGTCAAATAAAAGAGTTAATATCTCCATAACAACATGGGTTTCTGGGCAAAAGATCTACAGCAACAAATTTTTCTTGCTTCACCTAGTACGTGGCAAATGTACTTGACAATAAAGGCAATTTATATGGACTTTTCAAAAGCTTCCGACAAGATTTCGAAGCATTTGGCTTTAGTGAATCTGTAATCTTATTATTTAGATCATTTTTGGGCAACCGGAAACAATCAATACGTCATGTACAACGGTTTCAAATCTTATTGTGTTACACCTAGTTCAGGCGTGCCCCAAGGATCTAATCTTGAGCTATTATTATTTATAATTTTTAACGATGGCATCACTGACATTTTGAGCCCTGATATGTTGATAGATTTGCTGTTGTTTGCTGATGATCTGAAGATTTTTCCCAAAACTACATCTACTGCATTCTACTGCAAAATGTTTTACAGAAGGTAGTAACCTGGTGTGTCAAAAATAAGTTTCCAGTTGTGCACGCGGGGTGCCGTGAATTAACTTTGCGCGAAGGACCGAGAATAACTGAGAAGTACCACTAACCTGGAGTATCCTGCTGTAGGTGACAGGGGCCCCTGGTTCTTGGTAGCCTGATTTTGAGAAGCACAACGAGGAACACGTGAGAGTAAAAACCGTTCACTCATGCACCTTGTACGTTCAGTAGCGTACTACTTCCGCTCACTCGCGCGTGCGCCGGAATGGAGCAATTATTGTTCGAACATAACCGCCCACCAAATTTTAACAAAATTTAACGAAAAATTAAACGAAAATTAAAGAGAGTTCCTTATGTACATTATGAGAGTTCACTCAATTCTCCATTGAGAATTGGGTTGGGAGAATCACGAGCTTGTTTACCGGACGCGTATATAAACCGGTCGCGGTTTTCACTGTGGCCACACGGACGACTCCATCGGTTCCAGGATGTACCTCTTGTACGCGTCCTAACGGCCATGAAAGGGGGGTAGTTTCTGCGCCATACAATGCGACAATGGCGCCGGGTTGAATGTTTGGTTGATCCTTATTCCACTTCTGACGTTGGAGTTGAGTATGGAGATACTCCGTAGACCACCTCTTCCAGAACCGCTGATACAGCTGGGAGAGTAGTTGCCACCGACAGGTCCAATTCAAGTTGTCCTCCAAGGGAGCTTCAGGAGGTTGCAATAAAGGTCTGCCGACTAAGAAATGTCCAGGGCTTAGGTAATCTACAGCGTCTTCTGGGTTAGAGGTGACGGCACATAAGGGACGGCTGTTCAATACCGCCTCAATCTTACAAAATAGCGTGCTGTACTCTTCGAAAGTTAAGAGAGAGGTGCCGATTGATCGATACAAGAGACTCTTTGCGGATTTGATCGCAGCCTCCCATAGGCCGCCAAAATTTGGAGCGGCTGGAGGGTTAAAATGCCATTTTATCTCCAAAGAAGTTAAGGAACTCGTTATCTCAGAGGAGTGCGAACGTAGAAACTGACTCACCTCCCTCAGGTGGCGAGCGGCGCCGATAAAGTTACGTCCGCAATCAGAGTATATGTCAGAGGGTAGACCACGGCGTGCGGTGAATCTGTTGAGCGAGGCTAAGAAGGCTTTCGTGGAGAGTTCCGAGACCATTTCTAAATGAACCGCTTTCGTAGACATACATATGAATAAACAGAGATACCCTTTGTATGTGTGGGCCTTACGTCGACGACTTTCCCTGACCGTGAAGGGTCCGGCAAAGTCAATGCCAACAGAGGAAAACGGTTTGCTAGGTTGAACTCGAGCTGGCGGTAGATCAGCCATCAAGGGAAATACAGGTTTCGATTTAAACTTAAAACAGCGAATGCAGCGAAAAATGCGCTGCCGTAGGAGGGATCGAATCGATATTATCCAGAACTTCTGCTGTATAAGCGTCTGCACGCTTCTAGGTCCAGCGTGGCAAGCGTACAGATGATAGTAGTCGCAAATTAACGCAGAGAGATGAGCTTTCTGAGGTAAAAGCAGAGGGTGTTTCGCATCTAGGGGAAGGGCGGAGTGTCGTAGCCGTCCGCCCACCCTAACTATACCCATTGCATCCAAGAATGGGAACAGCTTCTTTAATGGAGTTGTGGTGTGACCTTTGGAACGCAACTCTTCTATGAGCAGAGGAAAATGGTTTTGCTGTGTGAGACGCACAAGCAATAAGGTCGAGTATCGCATCTCTTCGCTTGAGAGTGGACCTTTCATCTCAGGACATCTTATTCGGAGTAGCCATCGGCGAATAAATGCGAAAGCGCGTTGTAGTCTACTCAATGAAGAAAATCGTGACACAACTTCATACAGAGGATTTTCTGGGTCGGCTTGGATGCGCAAAACTATAGGATCGTTTTTACGCTCCGGGAGCTCTTCGGGTGCGACATAATTTTCGTCTCTTACGGGCCACTTGGACGGCGGATTCTGCATAAAATCTGGTCCATTCCACCAGGAATGACAATCCATGATCTCTTCGGGAAATAATCCTCGAGACGCAAAGTCGGCTGAATTTTGATTCGACACTGTGTGTGCCCATTGGTGAAGAGATGTAAGCTCTAATATGCGAACTACACGATTGGCCACGTAGGTTTTGAGAAGATGAGGAGAGGTGTGGAGCCATGCAAGGACAATCTGAGAATCGGTATAGAGATGAACATTTTCAAATCTTACGGCTTTAAGAGATTTAATCACATCACGAAGTAGTCGAGATAATAACAACGCTCCACAGAGTTCCAATCGAGGAATAGTCAATGTCTTGAGGGGTGCCACTTTGTTCTTGGCCTTCAAAAGATAATTGCTACAAGTGCTACTGGAATCATACGCATGTAAATAGATGCAAGCGGAGTATCCTTTAGAGGAAGCGTCCGAGAATCCTACCAAGAACAACGTGGCAAACTTTGGAGAATGTATCGAGGAATTTTAAGTGCGCGGAGACACCGCATTTGAGAAGCAAACCTTCCCCAAGCCTCCGATAGGGAAGGCGGCAGAATATCATCATAGCCCACTTTAGAGATCCATATCTGTTGCAGAAAATGCTTAGCCCAAAATACTATTGGAGATAACCACCCCATGGGATCAAAGATTCGAGCGATATAAGAAAGAACAGTGCGCTTGGTAACTTGAGAATCAAATTCTTGTACATAATAGGTGAAAGTATCAGACCGAGGATCCCACCGTAATCCAAAAATCTTAATAGAAGGATCGTCACTTGAGAAATTCAACGGAGATTCACGATGCTGTTCTGGAACATGATCTAGAGCAATTGGATCATTACTAGCCCATTTTCTCAGCTGGAAACCGCCACGATTGAGTAGGTTTGCGAGTTGTAACTGTAGCGACTTCGCTTCCTCAACTGTAGAGGCACCATGCGCAATATCGTCCACATAGGTGCTTTCTGTGATAGCTTGTACTGCCAATGGGAACTCATGCCCTTCGTCCTCGACGAGCTGGAGAAGGACACGTTGAGCAAGATATGCTGATGGTGCTAAACCATATGTCACTGTTTTTAACTCATACTCCTGCACATTAGAAGCGGGATCTGGTCTCCAGAATATGTGCTGGAGATAACGTTGCTTTGGATTCAACCAAATCTGTCTATACATCTGTCGAATATCCGCTGTGACTGCTATAGCATGAAGGCGAAAATTCATGAGAATGTGGCTCAAATCCTTTTGTAGCTTAGGACCGGGCAGAAGTTGCTGATTAAGCGTTGTCCCGTTTGAGTCAGGGGAGGATCCGTTAAACACAACTCGCACTTTGGTAGTTGAACTAGTTTCCTTTTGAACACAATGATGAGGCAGTACGTACATGGAAGGTTGTGCGGCTAGTTGCATATGTCCGAGATCGCGGTATTCTTGGAGAAAAGTAATATAAGCAGCGTTGAGTTGGGGACGCCGAGACATTCGAGCTTCCATTTTGAGATAAGTGTTCAGAGTTGTCTCTCGGTTGCTGAGAAGCGGCGAGCGCTGCTCACGGACTGGCATTGATACCACATATCTGCCTGAGCGATCGCGATAGTGCGTGTCCTTGAAATGAGATTGACAAAAGTCATCTTCAGGATTGGAGACTGAAAGGTTATCAGCGAGAGTCTCAGTTTCCCAAAACTTACGAACGGTATCATCAAGAGAATCGGTGCATGTGAGAAGAGAACACAAGGGGGAATTTGTTGAAGATGAAATCCATCCAAAGATTGTGTCAATGGCAGAGGGTTGTCCTTGAATAACATTAGGCTGCGTATTACATAAAATGTGAGGATATAGATCTGCTCCAATTAAGAATTCAACTCGAGCAGCTTGATGGAAGTTTTCATCAGCTAACGTTAGATGACTGAACTGATCCTTAATGTGAGAAGGTAACGTCTGACTAGGAAATTTATTAGGAATATCCGAAAGTACAACAGCGTGAACGTTTACGACATCATCACTAGTTCTAGAGCGTAGAGTGGTACGAATGAGACCTTGAGTTCGGACAGGAAAACTGGCGATGCCAGTAACTTCAATGGGAGATCTGCTTCTTTTTAATCCCAAATGTTGCGCCGTTGATGAAGTAATCACTGATACTTGAGAGCCGGGATCAACCACAGCTCTTATCTTGTGATAATCTCCATTACAGTCTTGGATCTGGGCTGTCACAGTCGCTAGTAAAACAGTGTTGCGCTCCGCTGAGGTCTTGCACGAAAACACAACGGGAGATTTTCTTTCCTCTACAGAGGGAGAAGTACTAGTTTCGGAGGTATCCACCTTGGACTCCTGGTGTAACACGGAGTGATGCTTGTTGCTGTGACAAATACGACAAGTTTTACGAGATTGACATTCATTTCGATTATGAGCACCCAAACAGTTGAAACATCGTCTCAATCTCTTCAACGTATCATATTTCTGTTCATTTGTTTTCTGGAGAAATTCGCTGCATGCCGGAAAGGGATGTGAACCTTTGCAGAGCACGCACGGGACAGAGCACGTAGAGGAGGCATCGGATTTGGCATTTGTCATGAGTGAAGCACGGAATGACTTAACTGATAGAGATTTACATTTCGGTGATTTTGTGTCCTGAGAGAGAAGTTCGTACGTTCGATTCTGATCCGTTATGAAATCAATTAACGCCTGATAGCTGGGAACGGAATTTGAACTTTGCCTATTCTCAAAAGCTTTTCTAGATACAGGATCCAAATTTGCAAACGATAATTGAAACAGCAAAAAATCACCAAGGTCTTGAAGATTCAAAGCCTTAAGAGCATTAATGGAATTCGAATGAATATTCAAAAAATGTCTCAAACTGCTAGAACTTGGGGATGATAAAGGAGTAAAACCTAGAATCTGATTGACGTAGTGAGTCGCCAACCGTCTTTTATTCTGGTAGCGAAGTTGCAATGCCTCATACGTCAGTGCGTAATTTTCGGGGGTTAGATGAAAATTGGCAATGACTGTTAATGCGTCATCTCGCAGATAAGAGCGCAAATACTGGAATTTTTCAGCTTCTGATAACGCATCGTTTTTGTGGACAACCGAATCGAACAGTGAGAAAAACGCCGACCATTCTTCGATGCGACCGGTGAACGTAGGGATATTTATTCTGGGCAAATGCTGGTTGCTGTTGGCGACCGAATTACTGCTGGTTTGCTGCGGAGGTTGTGTCTTCACCAGGTCTAAATAACGACCCCGTGTGTTAAATAGTAAATCATCGAAAGCTGTTTGCACCTTACAGACTTCGAGAGCATGGCGATTATCCAATAAATCTGCATTTAGCTGAATAATTGCATTCTGAGTCTTATCCATTTCTATCTCAATAACCTCTAGTTTTTCGTACCGAGGCTTGAACTGAAGAGCTGTATCAACGGTGGTTCTCTTCACGGAGTCATAACAGTTTTGAACTTGAGCAAATAACTTTTCCCGTGTAGATTTCAGTACGGCGAGCTTCTTAATTTGAGATTGCAACACTTCTTCGTTAGTCATTGCGGCGATACGCGATAAAGCGTCGACCGAGAAACCGATAAATGTGAGGTTATGATCCGGCTCCGATTAGGACCAAATGTGCACGCGGGGTGCCGTGAATTAACTTTGCGCGAAGGACCGAGAATAACTGAGAAGTACCACTAACCTGGAGTATCCTGCTGTAGGTGACAGGGGCCCCTGGTTCTTGGTAGCCTGATTTTGAGAAGCACAACGAGGAACACGTGAGAGTAAAAACCGTTCACTCATGCACCTTGTACGTTCAGTAGCGTACTACTTCCGCTCACTCGCGCGTGCGCCGGAATGGAGCAATTATTGTTCGAACACCAGTCAACATTAAAAAATGTAAAGTGGTTAGTTACGCCCGCAACAAAGAATACTGCTTATTTGACTACAATATCTGCGATACATCTTTAAAGTAACGGCGTGAAAGATCTAGGTATTATATTTGACGATAGTTTTACTTTTGAGGATCATATTGAACATGTTACCACTTCTTCCTTAAAAATTTTAACGTTTCGTTTACAAGTAGTTAAAACAAATTTGTTAATTAAGTCACCAATCTATACAATGTCGTATTTATTTAATCAGATTCCTTTGGTTGCTGATCTTAACTTTTCATTGCCATCCGACATATTGCATACAGATAGTTGTAACGAATAATATAATTTGAGTTAATCTTATATCTTATCATTATTATTATTAGTATTATTATTAATTTATTTTAACTTCCATTCTTGTGAGCTCTCTCCAACTTCTCCCCGTCTCTGTTCTTTCTCTCTCAGTAACTCTTCTCCAGCTGGTTGCCGGTCTTCCTCTGTTCCTATCTCCTTCCTTAGTCCACTTTAGTGCATGTTTTGTGATGTCCTTGTTGTCTTTCCTTAATGTATGGCCTATCCAGTTCCACTTTTTTCTTTTGGTTTGTTTTCTCATACTTTTTTGCTGTGTTAGTTTCCATAACTCTTCATTTCGGATCTTTCTTGGCTAGTATATTTTCAATATTTTGCGTAGATATTTATTGACAAAAATTTGTATTCTTTGTTGTTGTTTTCCTGTCATTGACCCTGTTTCACTGCCGTACAACGAAACAGATTTTATATTGCTGTTAAAGATACGTAACTTGGTGTTTTGCGTAATATGTGGCGATGTTCTTTAGTGTTCCGAAGGCCCCTTGTGCTTTCCAAATCCTTTGCTTTATGTCTTCTTCCGTTCTTCCCTCCATGCTGATTATGCTTCCTAAGTAGCAGAACTCGTTTACTTCCTTTATTTCTCGTTGATTCAAGAGTAATTTTTCTTGTGTTAGAGTTTTTCCCGTTTTCATTAACACTGTTTTATTTACATTAGTCTTCATTCCCACCTTAGCTGCTTCTCTTTCAAACTTTCCTAACATCCTTTTAATATCTTTTTCGTTGGTTGACATTAAGCAGATATTGTCTGCGTAGTCTACGTGTGCTAGTTTCTTATTGTGTAGTGGGCTCCAGCTTATTCCATTTCTCTGGTTTATTGTTTCGCATAATATATGGTCCCGACAGATATTGAAAGGTAATGAGAGTACTGTTCTACATCATTTTGACGAGGTTTATCATTTTTTCCGGGATCCGCTTCTGATTTAATATTTTCCACACATTGTTCCATGATTTATCCTATCGAATGCTTTCTCAAAGTCCACGAAGACCAGAATCAGGTTTGCGTTTCGTTCGATTGTCTTTTCTATTATCATTCTCATCGTTGCGATTTGATCTATACACGATCTACCTCTTCTAAAACTTGCTTGTTCTTCTCTCAGAATATTGTCTATTTTCTGCTTTATTCGTTGGTTGATTATTGTATTGTGCCAGGATTTTATTTGCCGTGGTCAGTAGGGTCACTCCTCTCCAGTTCTTACATTCTTTTATCTCGCCTTTCTTCGGTAATTTTACTATTATCCCATTGTTCCATTCTTTTGGTATCTCTTCGTTTGTCGAGATATCCTATGTTAATGGTATTTCGTCAGCTGCTGGCGATTTGTTATTGCTCATGTGTTTGATCGTTTCTTTGGCTTCCTCCTCCTGGTTTTTTCGGTACTGATATTCAGTAGCTCGCACTTTTCATCATTGTCCTCTATGCTTGCTGCTTCTGTTTCCATACCTCCTTCTTCAAGTAGTTCTGTGTAATAATCCTGCCATCGTTTCACTTGTTCTTCAGGTGTTGTAATGAGTTTGTTGTATAATGGTTTATTGGGGTTGTAGCTTTTATTGGTTAATATTTTCGTGATTTTGTATAGTTTTCTTATATTATTCGTTGCTGCCGTTTCTTCCGCTTCTTGTGCTAATTTGTTCGTCCATGTTGCTTTGTCCTTCTTTGCACTTTTCTTTATTTCCCTGTTTAGCTTCCCGTATTCTGTTCTTAGTTTTTCGTTTTCTTCTTGCTCTCTCATTTCATTCACCTTGGCTTTAATGTCTTTCCTTTCCTGTATAAGATTCAACGTGCCATCACTTATCCATTCTTTCTTTTTCTTTTCTTCTCCATACTACCTAGCACTTCCTTTGCTGCTTCTTGTATGTTTTCTTTTATCTCTTTGTTCTAACTTTTCGTTTTGATTTGTTCTAGTCGGGCACTCCATTTTGCTTTGATGTCTATTTCTTTTAACTTTTATACGTTGATTTTTTTCCTTCTTAGTTCTTCTTCGTTTCTTTTTACGACGCATATTCTCATTCTCATTTTAGCAATCAGTAAGTGATGGTCACTGCCCACATCTGCTGACCTTTTGTTACGTACCCACATCTAAGCTTCATTCTTACTGTTATAATTCGGTCCGAAATGGGATTCCATTGTAACATAGCAGGATACCTATTTCACCCTTTCTTTTCTCGCTTTCCTCTTTCCCTGAGTAAAGCAAGACGCTG